GTACCGCATACCCGCCGAAAGTCACAACAAAGGATGGCTGTTTCATACCTCGCTGATATTTGAGAAGGCGATTTAAGTACAAGCTGGCAACAAAACAGTGCAACGGCAAACCTAAGAAACATCTTCCCAGACGAATGGCTCGAGTTGGCGATACTGCCAAGAGAAAGAGAGTAACTCTCTCACATCTGTTACTCGGCGGCACTACTCAGGTTAAGAACGCCCTCTGTTGGCTGACAATAGTGTACGTGTTGTGGTGCACTGTGAGTGAAAGCCTAGAGAGTGACTGTGGGAAGAGAGAGAGATAGAGAGAGACTATGTGTTTACCCGGCCCCTGGACACGCACACACACACACACACACACACACACACACACCGGCCCGTCGCGGTTTCATTAGCCTCCGTGCGCACCCACAATCCGACCGCAACACTTTACTCCGCACCGCGCCGGGCACAACCTGGCCAATCCTTCCTTCTGCTACAGGCACTGACAACAAATTACTAACAATTCTGACGTGAACGATATCAGCTAATGATATCCGCTCCATAAAACGTACGGGGCTTTCCGCGTAGTCGCTACACATTTTTTTTGCAACGGTTTATTTGACAGTGGCTTGCGTCCGGGGCAGACAAACAGCGGGTGCAATCGGCTGCAAACAAAGCCGAAGGAGGAAATCATGCCAAAGCGGTCGTGGCATTCGCGCCCAATTCCACCTCGCGCAGTAAAAGACCTTGCGAAGCGGAATTCGGCTCAATAATAATTACCCCAACACTTTGTCACACAAAAATCTTTCATTTATAATTGCGGAAGTTACTGTTTGTAAGCTTTCTTGGAAAGAATTCTTTAAATATTTTCATGTTAAACTTTACAAGGGCCTTTGCAAAGGTTTTGGGCGTGCGCTCCGCACCCGCTCCTACGACCCAGCCAAGACGCTGCGACTGCTGCCCCAAACAGCACGGCCCGCGCCCACTCACCGTTAGCTTAGGACGGACTCACAAACATTTGTGTATCCGCAGATAAGATGAGCAGACAGCGGCACCAGCGCGGGGCCGCTCGCAGAGCAAGGGCAGAATCCAAGGCAGGGGCAGCCATAAGGGCTCGGGTGCCTCAGCAGCGAGGCCGAGGCAGACCTGACCTGAAGCGGGCGGCAAGCCCGCGCGACAGAGCGGCCCGGCGAGCGGCCCAGGCTGCGCACCGCAGGCGCTCCGCAGAGGAAACTGCCACGATCAGTCAGTTGGAGTTGGACGGGTCTAACAGTACCGGGTGTCAGGGCTACGACAGAACAATGTTGCGGGTTTGCCAGCCCTAGGGGCCATAGCGCCTTCCTTCCGGATGCACCGAGTAGGCAAATCCGGATACTGCTGTTTCGTAGCCCCGACACCCGACACACGTTACGGGAGGGAGGCAGTCGATCAGCAGCGCTCAGAAAGCAAGCAGGCGGTCAGCAAGCGATCGGCAAGTTGACAGCAGGCGGTCAGCAAGCGGTCAGCAAGCCGTCAGCAAGCGGTCAGCAAGCGGTCAGCAAGCGGTCAGCAAGCGGTCAGCAAGCGGTCAGCAAGCCGTCAGCAAGCCGTCAGCAAGCCGTCAGCTTGAATATGCGAGTTTAGTTCGTTTGCTTTCCACCAGCCTTCAAGCCGCGTGGCGCCCCTGCAACACGACGAGGTAGACCGGCCCGCGGGGTCCGCCCACGGGGCGGGCGGCCTATCCCGCGCATCACAGGCGCTCTGGACCGGCCGACAGCGCATGATAGTATTGCATCGGCAGGGAAGGTACCCGACGGTCACATCGCGTCTCTAGTAGTACTCGCAGCAGTTCTTCCCGTTCTTCCTTGAACGCATTACGCAACTCAGATTTGCGAACAACAGTCTTGTGGTTTTCCCTAACCAGCCATTAGCATTGGCCCCTACAGCTACGTTAGAAAACGACGTCTTGGTTTTCAAGCGGCCAAGCATCTCTGATGGAAAAGTAGAAGGCCCCAAAACTGCTTGGTAAAAAACTACGGCGTTGTTTTTATCGTGCACGTCGTACCCTCGTTTATAGAAAGGATAAAACATATACTTAGAGCCAGTGCCTTTAAATTATCAAAGCACTTAAAATTTAACGGAGGTTAATTACAAATTATTTTCACTCCAAATAAGCGCACATGCACGGAAATTCACCTCTTTTGATCGATAAAGTTTGTTCGCCTTTGACACGAATGCACTGCCAGTACAGCGAAGTCAATTATGACGGATCAAAGGAGCCATTTTCTGTGTGCAAGGGACGCCGCGATGGAGACAGTTTCAGCTGGTCGGAAAAGGGAGCAAGCTAGAGAGAGAGTCGCTACCTCAGAGCGTATAGGGTCGCCTCGACAGGAGAAACAGAGGGAAGGGAACAGAGAAGGGCAGGGGAGAACCAGGCAAAAAAAGAGAGCGAGAGAGCTCGCTGATTGCGCGTCTCGCGACAATGACGCCAGAGGACGTACGGACGGAACGTGAGAGAAACAAAACTCGGTCCGCCTTCCGCCTCTGGTGAGCAGTGCTCGACGTGGCCGCAGGAAAGGAGACGGAGGTGGTGGGGAAGTGAAGGGAGGGGGAGGGGAGCGGGTGGTGAGCAAGGAAGGGAGGGGAGTGGAATGGAGACAGTTGTGTGCTTGTGATCGCACCTCAGCCGCGGACCCGCTGGGGACGTGACGGTCGACAGAAAGGATATGGCGATCGCAATCTATTAAAAGTGTGACGCGAAAGCGCTTAGTCACTTTACTATACTATTACCGATATTTTTTTCAAATTCTGCACTTGAAGAGTTAGTGGCTGAGCAAATAGCTAGGCCCATTACTCTACTGACCTAAAAAGTTTCATTCTGTTTGTTTGTCTGTCTGTATGCACGATAACTCGAAAAGGAACTGAGATAGCGACCTGGTTTCCTTGACTTATGGGAGTTCAGACATAATTTGTTATTACCGCGTGGAGCGGCCGGGACAGAGCAAGGAGCGGCACGACCTTGTGGACACACAGCCCCGGGGCTCTCCATCACTGATCTGATAGAACAGGGGGCTCAGCAGAAGAGCGAGCTCAGCGCCTGCCCTGCGGCTGCCCTGTGCCGCCCCGCGCGGCGCGCAATGCACGCCCCTCTAATGAGGACCCCACGCGCTCCGTCTGACCGCATCCATTAGCAGTATGAGGAGAGGTGGAGGAGAGTGGGCCTCCCCGGCAGCCGTGTGCAGACAGCGTGGCAGAACAAGAAACTTGTTGTCCGAGCACTTCCCGGCAGAACGAGGCACGACGCCACCACCCCCCGCTGGAGAGCCGGCGAGAGCAGCGGTGGGCCGCACCCGAACAGACCCGGAGGGGGGTGGGAGCCGTGAGGAAGGAGGTAATAATATTTCTCACGAAAATAACAAAAGTCGCCGCTCACCTGATTTCGAAGCAATAATATCTGCCCCACTACTTGAGCTTTCCTCGATCGCGGGGGTATTTTAGCACCAGCCGGGGGGGAGGGGGGTGAGCGCCGGGAATGAAATATCGAAAATATATGCACACCGGGGTAGGCCGCAACAGCACGGGCGAGGAGGAGATTGCGTCACCAGGTCAGTCAGTGAGACGGAAAATGGAGGTCCGTGTATGTGCGGCTGGGCGTGTACGGCGGGCAGCGAGGCGCGCCCGCCACCCCGCTGACAAAGCCAGGCGGAATCATTTCCAGCCACCTGGGCCTGGGCGCGCCGCGGCACGTCACCGCTACAGGTATAGGCACCGATTAGCACACTGATAAACTAGGTGTGCAACTGCATGTCAAATATACTTGGAAATGTTAAATTCAGTAATGGTACACTTGTAAGTGTGTTAAACTACGTATGAGTGTTCTTGTAGGTGTGTAAATCATCTGTTTCACACTACCCTCACGGAGAGAGTTTGATCTAAAGAAGTGTTCAACAGGAGAGGTGCACACTTCCACAACTACCCGACACAAGATTAAAGAAAGAAAAATGCTCGGGCATTATTCAACTTGATCATTTTTCAGTGGCAAGTAGTTTTCCATAACGATAAAAAGAGTCTACTAAGAAAGTGATCATGACTTGTAACACAATTCTACAGAACGTGTGCAGTAAGTTGATAGAAATTCCTGCACTGTGCAAGTGTAGAGATAACAGCGACAAACCGACAAACAATGGAAAGTGTGGATAAATTTTGCTCTGCCCTCCTGCGCTGCTGAGTTGGCCGCCCCCAGGAGCCTCACCGACAGAAGGCCTGACCTATCACCCACGTTCTGCGGTACGACGAGCGACACGATGTGCTGCACGATGTGCTGCACGATATGCTGCACGACGTGCTGCACGATATGCTGCACGATGTGCTGCACGATGTGCTGCACGATGTGCTGCGCAATGTGCTGCGCAATGTGCTGCGCAATGTGCTGCGTAATGTGCTGCACCATGTGCTGCACCATGTGCTGCACCATGTGCTGCACCATGTGCTGCACCATGTGCTGCACCATGTGCTGCACCATGTGCTGCACGATGTGCACCTATTCGCCAATTCCTTTTACTACATAGTAGGCGGGCCGCCACAGAGCACGAGCGCACGGTGTAGATTGGTTGGCAGCACGGCCCAGCTGCCCAGCTCCCCTGGGGGCTGTAAGCCGCGACGCGCCGCGACGTGATGAGGGGCGGGCGGGAGAGCGGGGCGGACAATGTCCAGGAGCATCAATACCTGAGCAGGGCGGGCAGGGGGGAGCTAGTGCACCTCTGCCCACAGTGAACCGCCAGCGCTGAGCTTACAGAAAATATGGATGAGCTCTAGGCTGGAAAAGATGGGATTCACCCCGTAGAAAATAGGGGGGGTTCCCAGAATCTCCTGTTCCACCAATAATAGATATGATGGACACAAGAATCAGTTTCCTTTGACAGACTTCCATTTAAGCCACACCTCGCAATAGTTTTCTTGTTTGTCGTTATTTTTTGGTATCCGGACTATTTTAAGTCTAGAACAATGCTGGAATGAAACAGCTCGGGTCTTCGACTCACCTGTCTCGCCGTCAGTGGTGAGCGGTCCCACGGAGCCGAAGAAGCGCTTGTCCAGCACCTGCAGCAGCTGCAGCGCCGTCTCGTGCACCAGCGTCCGCGGGCAGCCTGTGTTCATCAGGGTGACGTTGATGACGGCGGTGTAGTGGTCGCATGGGTACTCCCTGTAAGGCAGAGAGAGGCCAGGAGGGTTAGACGACGTGCGGGTGGAGGGGATGCTTGATTTCGCGTCGTGTGGTGGTGGAGGTTTCGCGGTTGCTCGGTTCCCCACCGCAGCGCCCGCTTGAGCTGCGCCCTGCACTGTGCATTAATGATTAGTTAGCTCACGACAGCCCGGTGGCCCGGCCCGGCCCCCGCTCCAACATACCACTGAGCGGCTGCACCTCGCTCCTTCATTTTCCTTTCTATCCATCTTTGACAAACGGGCAGACACGCGAAACTGTTTTGGTCGCTGCAGTAATGGACTTTGCTCGGCTTTGCTATTGCTGAGTGTGGTAGCCAATTATTATTTCATGGCATGTTCCTTTGGGAACCGCCGATCCCTATCAGCTTCCGGATGACGGGGTGCTGCGTGGGACACGAGGGCATGGGTCGGTGGGCCGATTGTGGGGCCAGGTGGGGCGCGGTGGGGCCAGGTGGGGCGCGAGGGCGGCGCCAATTAGACTAACGGCGCTCGTCCCCCCAGAGCCGGTCCCGGTGCATATCGCGCTAATGGAAAGGCACGACCAGTCAGTCAGCCGGCGCTTTATAATCACTTCCATAGGAGTGCACAAGTTGTCATGGGTTCGGCGCCCAGCTAATATAAGAGCAGGGCAGGTGGCTAATTAATCAGACAGGGAGACAAAAGGCTGCAAACCCGCGGCACGGAAAACTTTCCACCACGGATGCCCCCCC